TATATATATATGCATATTGTGTGTATGCACGGGTGCATGCATGTGCGTGTGTACAGAGAGAGAGAGAGTGAGACACAGAAACCGACAGGGGCCACTGCTAGTGAGAGGGACTAGGAGGCCAGGGTGGGCAGGAGACCTACTTTTCATTGTTTATTTTTAAACTGTTTGAGTTTTTTTAATTAAAAAAATTTTTTTAAGGTAAGTTAAGATAAAAATTTTAAGATGTCCCTTGCATATGTATTCTTTACTCATTAGAACTTTCAAACTTGAGCTGTTTCTATGCGTCGCATAGCCAAATGTATGGGAAAGAAATTGGAGTGTGTGTTGGGTGGCAGTGGGGTTGGGGGACAGATGATGCTCAGAATCTGTGCAGGGAATGGTAGCCAGTGTTTCACTCTGCACTGCGAGGTCTGCACTGTGATCTGCCTGGGCCTGTGGCTTCTCTGAAAAGGAGCCGCGAGCTCCCAGCCGCCCGGCCTCAGGGCGAGGTGCCTGGAAGACAGGAGGAATCCTGCTGCCTCTCTCGCATCCGGACGACCTGTCAGCTCTTGGATTAAGTGCTCATCCCCCTGTGCACTGTACCGCAGCCAGGATTGTGAGGCAGACTCACCTGTAGGGAGCTTGACTCTATGTACATACTTCGAGATCATTGGAAGAAAGTCTCCATTGTTACATGAAAATACACTGAAAAGAAAATTTCTTTATTTCACAGAAAAAAAACATGTTTCTTACGGTAAAGGAAAAAGAAAATCTAAACTACTTGTAATCCACTACCAACAATTCTTGTGTATATCTTTCCACAATTCCAGAATAATATTACAGTATATTATCATTTTATAACTTTTTCATGTACTATATCTGGAACATCTTTAAATAGACTTCTGTAGCATTTGAAATGACTGTGTAGTATTCTGCTGTATAGATAGATATACCAGGATTAATATAACTAGTCCCTTACTGTTGAGGGTCTGTGTTTCACATCTTTCACTGTTATGAATGGGAATATACTGAACACTCTTAGAATCTGATCTTTGGAAACACTCTTATTTTATAGGATTAATTCCTAGAAATGACTATATTTCTGGGTCAAAGATTATGCATATCTTAATGACTAGCAAATATACTCTTAATACATAGTCTAACCTCAAATAATAATTGTAATAATAATAAATGAGTAATTTGAATATATAGGAAATTATAATTAAAAAAAATAAGTTTATTTTGAACAGTTATAAAGGTATACATGTTTACTATAGCCACTCTTGAAAATACAGGAAACTAAAGAGGAAAAATATTAGCAATAGACCTTTACTAAAAGATAACCAGAATTAGCAATTATTTTTCAATTGTATTTTAACCTGATGGTTATCATACTATATGTTTGATTTTATAACTTTTTTCCCAAAAAGTAATGATTTGAGGTACTATGTTTGTTACATAACTAGACTCTTTCTGAGCTGCTTTTTTTTGGGGGGGGGGAAGGCATTTCCAAAAGTTAATGAGGTGGCATCTTTCTATTCATAGTTGTGGTTTATGCCTTAATGTGAGCGGACACATTCTTTGCCATCCAGGGTCCTACATTTGCGCCCGTCCACTCAGCCCTGCCACTCATTGGTTGACACTCACCCCTTAATCTCCTTTTCCCAATCTCCTCCTAGGTGTCAGAATTGGGAAGGTGGAATTGGCGGGGTGCCAGGGATGGAAGCCCACGGAGGCTATACTTTCTGTGGCCTGGCTGCACTGGTCATCCTCAAGAAGGAACGGACCTTAAACCTGAAGAACTTGCTGGTGAGTGTCTGTTGATCGGCTTCCTCCTAGGCCCCCAGGCCCCGGGCAATGTGACTACTGGACAGGCTTTGGGAGGGTCTGGCTGTCGGAGGGGCTCACAGATCCTGCCTATGGCTCCTGAAGCAGAAGTGCTGTAATGCAGCTTTAGGTAGAGTTGCTGGAGTGCTCACACTGTCTGAGAAAGTGGAAGCAGTAGTGCTCTCAGTTTCAGCGCCCTTCTTGCCTTTCTATCTTCCTGCCCTGAACTTTCTACATAGTGTGTTAGGCCAACTCCAGAGTTTTCTTGAGTCCCTCAGACATCTGGTATGAGCCGGAGTACCTTCCTCAGACTTCCAAGAAAAACGTAGTTTCAGTCTCTTAAAATTAGGGGTTCTCATGTGTCTTAGAATATCCTAAGAGAAAAAGTTATGAGAAGAGCTTCGGGGCATCTTGAAGTCAAGCTTTTATTATCTACCACGCTATGTGAACATTCAGTAACCAAATTTAAATTTGCTAGGCAGAGCTGGGTAACTGCTTTGAGCAGGTGGCCCAAACATTTACATCTGGACTCCAAGCTCCTGAATGAACTCAGAAAACTGTCAGCTTCAAGGAGTCACTAGATGATAGTTCAATTATCATTGGAGACCTAGTGCACAAACATACACACACCCACAGCCACCCAGGACATGTCTTTGGGAAGCATTTTACTCCCTGATCATGGCCTTAAAGCAAACCAGCTGCAACTGACAGTCATTTTTTTCTCCCAAAGTTCATAGGTCAGGCTCCTATCAAAGGAATTGTCCTGAGACCCATCGTGAGCTTCCCAGAGAGTTTCTGTTATACTCTGTAGAGATATGACTAGCAGCATTTGTCTTCATCCTTAGGAAGCCTCCTGTAGCAGACTCTTTTCCAAGGTTGTTAAAGGCCTGAAGGTTCACACTGAAATGGCCAGCTTTGTACACTGGACTCTGAAATCCACTAAAACCTGATTACTAACAAAGCATGAAACACAGAACTTCCATTTCTCAGGCAGAAATAAAGAATATAATTAGCAAATGCCTATTACAAAGACAGTATTCAGGATTTGAACCCTGTCTCTACCACTATCTAGCCATGTGACTTTGGAAAAATTGTCTAATCTCTTTCAGCTTCAGCTCCCCCCTGCCCCCCCCCCCATAAGGT